ATGAAAGCTGAATGTCTCACCTTTCCAACGAGCCTACATACAGCTTTGGACTGTCATCGAGCCGCCTGCTATGAGCTGTAGAATATTAAAAACATAAAAACGATTTTTTTTCAGTTATTCGTTAATTTCTCGACAACTCCTTCAGATAATTACATCATCGACCACTCGTATGAAAGCCTACTTACTTTTTAGTACTGTCATCGAGTCTCCTGCTATGAGCTGTCATCCGTTCGTCTGTTATGAAACTGAAAGCGATTTGGTATTTTTCTTCTTCTTCTGTTGTTGTTTGTTTCTCTTTGTTCTTTTCATTGAATGTAACGAGAGCAAATGGAGCCATAAAAGGTGCTAATCTAAATATAAATAATCGCGGTTTTTCGCATCCCACCGTTAACTCTTTTAACGATTCGTCAATAATTCCTAACGCAAACGAAAAGCGCGCCTCGGCTTCATCATCAACATAGTCCGTCCATCCATCCGTCAGATCGAGATGGCTTTGGCGCTGAAAAGGGATTCGGATTTGATCCGAATTCGCACCAAATATTTCACAAACAACTACAGGAAAGATTACTCCGTGTACAATGGATTCACGATGCCCGAGTACTTTGGCAAGTACTTCGAGGAGATCCAAGAGATGGAGGTATACGACGACGACGTCTGGGTGACGGGATTCCCGAAAACAGGTGAAAAAATATGATATTTTCTTGTTGCAAAATACATATTTTTGTTTTGTTTTGTCTTATTCTTCAGGAAGCACCTGGACCAGAGAGACTGTCTGGTTGATTGCCAACGATTTGGACTTCGATAGAGCCGATGAAGGTCTTCCAACCAGATTTCCGTACTTGGAGTGAGTGTGAAAACGATTTCAACGACAAAAAAATAGTGAAGAATTCGCGGTTTTCAGGTTCTTCTGTCTGTACGACTTTCGGAGATATCCGAAAGACTTCAAACCGTATCCACCGATGACGGATTCTCTGGACTTGGTGAGGAAGGCGAAACGTCCTAGGTTCATCAAAACCCACCTTCCCTGGGATCTCCTACCAAAAGATATAAGAAACTTCAAGAAGAAACCAAAGGTAATAACATCATTAGTTACCGACACACCACTCAATAATTCCTACAAAACAAAACAAAAATCAGTTTTACAAACTTTTATTTATTAAAAAAAAAACAGATACATTTAACAGATTCAGTTGGTAACACCGATTAATTAATTGAAAGTCAGCTGTGTCATTTATTTTGATTAATAGGCAACTTTTGAAGCAATCAAAAATTAATAGTAAAATACTGAAATTATTTCATATTACATAAACCAAATTAATAACAAAACACGACATCTATATTTCTCTTATATTAATATTTTTCAAAAGTTGAAACATATTTTTTTTTATCTTTAAAGATTTAGTAATATACGAATAAGTGCAAAATGCGTCAAAAGCTTCGCTATTTATTGATTTTGTTCATTACGCGAAAGAATTTCTAGTTATTATTATTGCCAATCTAATTGCATTTCAAACAAACGTCAAAACACAATTTGTAGGCAACTTTACGTTCACACAATGCAATAAATGAATAAACATATCAATTGATCAATTTGCATTGAATTTAAGAATGTATCAATATAATACAAATATTTGTTTCATTGATATTTTATATATAAAAAAAAACTAGAATAACAATTGAAACTGAAATTGAATTGAAATTGAAATAGATTTGATTTTTCTGAAGTTAGGCAACTTTATTCACGTGTCATTGAATAAAGGAATGGACACACCATTCGAAATCTTTATTGTAATAATTGTTTTGTTTTAGATAATTCACATAGCTAGGAATCCAAAAGACACCTGCGTCTCGTATTTTCACCACTGCAAACTGAACGAGGGTTTCACCGGGAGTTTCGATGATTTCTGGCAACTTTTCGTAACCGGAAAATGTTAGAAAAGTTGTGTGTGTGTATAAATTTGATGATATTTTTTTGTTGTTGTTTGTTGTTTAAGTGCATTACACGCCGTTTTGGGGAAACGTTCTCGGTTATTGGAACAAGAGGGATTCGAACAACAACATTCTGTTCCTCACCTACGAGGAAGTGAAGAGAGATCTGATCGGTTTCATCAAGAAAACGGCGAAATTCTTGGGGAAAGAGTTGAGAGGAGAGCAAATCGATCTGCTGGTGGATCGTCTGAGTTACGAGAGCGTGAAGGCGAGGAAACCGGAACACTTCGAGCCGATAGTCGAGTTTCTGAAGCAGTTCAAGATGTGCCAGAACGAGTCCGGACACTTCTTCAGGGCCGGACTCGTCGGGAATTACAGCACGCAGATGTGCGCGGACGTCATCGACATCTTCGACAATTGGACGGAAGAACACACCAGAGGCACCGGCCTCAAGTTCAATCTGATCAGATTCGTGAAAAGATATTCAATATAACAAATCCATTATATTTAAGGTAACAATAATTACAATCATAAAATCATCATAAAAGAATTAACAAAAATTATAAATTAACGATATATGTACAAGAAGTTGAGTAATTGTTGAATTTCAATCGAAACTCAATCCGGTTCCTTCCGTCTTCCTGCGAATCCACTCGTCGAAACGCCGCGACAGATCCGGACTCATGTGCGTCTTCCAATCGCCCACCTTTCCCTTCCTAATGAAACTCTTCCCCGTCTTCTCCAAATAGTTCTCGCCCATCAAACTATCAAGGATCGGTGCCATATTACAGCCAGGATTCTTTCGCATATTCTCCACGCTCAAGAAATCCTCCAACTTATCCACTTCATCATCGCTCAACGATTTCTCCATGAACTCGGCGATCCGCCTGATTCCGGCCCCGGTGTCCTTCTTCAGATCCTCGTACATGATGAACAGCACGTTCGGATCATCTCGCATCGCCCAATAGCCCAAATAATGATCGAAAACCGCACCCAGAGGCACCGTGTCGTTGATGAAGAGCTCGGCGAACTCCTCGAAACCGATGTCCATGTGATGCATCAGCTGGCAGTGGTGGTAATAAGAAACGCACAGATCCTTCGGATGTCTCGCCACATAGATTATCTGTAAGAAACGAATCAGAATTTACAAAAAAATTTAAACTTCCGGAATTTCCGGAAGTTAACTATTTATATGAAAAAACACAAAAATTTTTTCTATTGCAATTATATTTGAAATATCTTCAATTTCTATAAAAAAAAATCAATTTCCGGTTTAACCGGAAATTGTTTAAATTCGCTATGATCGTAATCAAATTGAAATTGTATATTAATTATCGTTAGACAAACGAAAAAGTCTAATAGAATTTTTCGATAAAATGTTTAATTGTGGAATTAACAATTGAGTAACGATTGCGGAAAAATTGTTGTAACTTTGTTGTTTGTGGTGCGATTTGGATGATTTTCGTTGCGAAATTTCGATGGATGAATTGCGATCGATTCGGCTCACCTTGGGTTTGACTTTGTGCATTTGCGTGGGCAGAAATTCGACTGGTAGATGGGTTTTGATGAATCTAGGCGTAGGCCAATTCTCGACGATCTCCACGGAGTTTCCGTAGCCGGCTATGAAGTTGGTGTATTCGGCGAAGTACGTGGACAATCTGCGGAGAGGTTAAGTGAGTAAAACTGTTGAACGCTTCAGGTTTGTGTCTTTTTACTCGATCATCGGGGCTCGGAGTTGCTGGATGGTTTTCCTCGCCTGTTCGAAGTCGAGTTCGTTGCCGATCAGCCAGACCATTTCTTGAGTCCATGTGGAGCCTGTGTGTGAGAGAAAGAGAGAAATAGAATTTGTCGTCTGTTGAGGAGTAAATCGATGAAGAGAGAAACTTTCTCGTCAAGTATTCCGATCGCTTTCATCTGCGCGGCGCGCACTCACCGGTCCTCGGATAACTGATGAGCCAGACGTCATCTTCGCGGACACTGGCGTCGAGTATCTGTCCGGCGATGTCCTCGAAGAAGGACGGCATCAGCAGATTGCCCGGAGTGAATTTCCAGAAGCTGTTCTTCGCGCCGAAAGCCTTGTCCAAGGCGTCCGCGTGAGGACCGGTCAGCGCCTCCTTCTTGAATCGGACGTCGCTCATCTCGGAAGAAAGGAAAACAAATGAAAGCGATCCGAACGACCGTAACGGTTTTATCGAAGAGACACACTGGAGAGGTGGCAACCAATAACCATGGTTACGCAACTCTTGGATACCCCAGAAAGAAGAGCGACGACAACAACCAAATGTATATTTAAAAACAAACTCACGACGACGATTAGATGAGATCTTTCACTTTGCTAGAGAGAAAGAAACAAAACAGAAAAAACAAAAATTTCTCTTCGCCAAAAAATTATTGCATATGAAATATAAATATACAAAAAAAAAGAACTATTTCTTCACTTTTATCTCGCTTTCTTTTAGTATTCAAGAAGAAGTAGAAGAGAAAAAAAAGCAAAACTCTTGACCTTGCTTTCTCCGGATTTTACGTAACTTCCCCGAAATCATCAAACTCTGTACGTTTCCATGACAATTCCACAATAATTTATCGTGTATTATTTCTAGTTGCTTCAATTGTTCTAATCCATCTGTCACTTGACTAATATCTTAATTAATCCATTATTTTTGCTATATTTTAATTTCAGTAAAAAACATTAATAAACAAAAAAATAAATAAATATAATGTATTAATTGTATTAATAACTAAATTATTATTGTTTCGTTGCTTAGTTACAAAAGTCAATTAAAATAATCCTACGCATACTCTTAATTGAACTTGAAAAGATTTTGTTTCCAAGCAACAAAGAAAAAAACAAAAGTTGTAAAATTTTCTTCTATTTTGTTTTTTAATTGAAACGCTTTAAATTAAAAAAAAATGATGAATTATTTATGGAAATATATATATTATTTGTTGAAAGTCCGGTTGGGAAATAAGGTTTTCCTTGAAATTTCGGAAGGAAATGGTAGGAGAGACGATGTGCAATAATGCAAGAGGAGAGAAGAGAAAATAAAAAGTGTAGAAAGTGGATTTGCATCGTATCAAAAGCCGAAACAATCGATTTATGTAATAATTAACCCAGTTACCATTTGGAATTTGGAAATTGCTTTATTTTTCTTTGTTTTCTTTTTGGTTGCCAAATTAACGATGGAAAAAAAATATCGAAAACTAATAATTTTCTACAATTTTTTAATAGTGTATAACAGAAAAACGGATTCGAATAGAAATCTGATAGTAGGCTCGTTAGAAATATCATAATTTTATCTTTAGTGTGAATTTTGAATAATCCCGTTAGTACGTATGGTTATCGAGGTAATTAATTTAAAAGTATGTTATAATTACAATGTATGCAACCAAATGTACACGTGATATATTTTTGCCAAATTTTGATAGAACGGTTGATGCCACAATAATGGTTATGGGCTCGTTGGAAAGGTCATAATTTTCTCATTAATTTGTTTATAAAATGATCTAATTGTCTTTCACGGTTGTAGAATAATTAAATAAATGATGAAGACATTTGTTTTTTTTTTAAATTATTTATATTTTAAACGTATGTTGTACGTAAATATAACCCAGTTACCATTTGGAATTACAATTGCTTTATTTTTCTATGTTTGAAATTTTAATTGTTTTGTTTTTGGTTGCCAAATTAACTATGGAAAAAAAATATCGAAAACTAATAATTTTCGACAATTTTTTGATAGTGTATAACAGAAAAACGGATTCGAATAGAAATCTGATAGTAGGCTCGTTAGAAATATCATAATTTTATCTTTAGTGTGGATTTTGAATAATCCAGTTAGTACGTATGGTTATCGAGTTAATTAATTTAAAAGTATGTTATAATTACAATGCATGCAACCAAATGTACACGTAATATTTTTTTGCTAAATTTTGATAGAACGGTTGATGCCACAATAATGGTTATGGGCTCGTTGGAAAGGCCATAATTTTCTCATTAATTTGCTTGTAGAATGATCTAATTGTCTTTCACGGTTGTAGAATAATTAAATAAATGATGAAGACATTTGTTTGTTTTTTAAATTATTTATATTTTAAACGTATGTTGTACGTAAATATAACCCAGTTACCATTTGGAATTACAATTGCTTTATTTTTCTTTGTTTGAAACTTTAATTGTTTTGTTTTTGGTTGCCAAATTAACGATGAAAAAAAAATATCGAAAACTAATAATTTTCGACAATTTTTTTAATAGTGTATAACAGAAAAACGGATTCGAATAGAAATCTGATAGTAGGCTCATTAGAAATATCAAAATTTTATCTTTAGTGTGGATTTTGAATGATCCACTATTCCATTATTTTAAAAGTATGTTATAATTCCAATTACAATTCCAATGTATGCAACCAAATGTACACGTGATATATTTTTACTAAATTTTGATAGAACGGTTGATGCCACAATAATGGTTATGGGCTCGTTGCAAAGGCCATAATTTTCTCATTAATTTGCTTGTAGATTGATCTAATTGTCTTTCACGGTTGTAGAATAATTAAATAAATGATGAAGACATTTTTTTTTAAATTATTTATATTTTAAACGTATGTTGTACGTAAATATACACAGAAACGTTACGTCTACAAATTAGGTAATATCAATATAGTAAATTTATATATATATATATATACACAGATAATAAAACTTAAGCTCTAAATAAATACTATAGAGAATCAAAATCATAAACAATAATTAATAAAATTTGGTGATTCCGATTAGTGATATATACATGTATTATTCATTTATATGAATAATACATGTATATGAATTGTATAATGTAGTACATAAATTGTTATTAATACACGGAGGGACAGAAGAAGAAGAAAAAAAAAACACAATAAGACTAAATAATAAGAATCACAATTGTTGTAAACCAGACTTACGTTGCATGGATGGTTGGGTTGCTTCCGTTCGAATCTTGAATTCGAAATCTCAAAAAGTGAATTACTTTTCGTGCATCTGCACGAAAGACTCGAGCGTTCTAGGCACTTGATGTCGATAGGGGATGCCGAATTTGCAGATGACCGTGGCGGAGAGACACTTCAGCGAGACGTAATTGACTAGATGAATATCTAAATTGAACGGTGTCTCGTTCACCTTTTGGATGGCGCAATCACCAGACGCGTTCGGCAGATCTAAATGCGCTCCATGTTTCAAAAGCAAACCAACCAACTGCACACAAACAATTATTATAGAGATTTTTTTTTTGGGGGGGGGAAATTGTAACTTACCCAATTGTTGTTGTTATAAGGTACGGTTGCGACGTGAAGGGGCGTCGATTTGGAGTCGTTGCGGGCGTTAACTTGGGCGCCGCACTGGAGAAGAAAACTGATGACACTTTCGTCGGGGAAGACCATCTGTTAATGTATAAATGAATTAATGATTGAATGTGTTTTTTGTTGGGAAACTTACAACAGGAGCTTCGTCCATGAAGTATCCGGATTTGATGGTGTTGAGCTTGGAGACGCAGAGATGGAGCAGGGTGTCTTCGGTACTCGCGCTTGTAGGATTCAGTCGGATCAACTTGCTGACCTGATCACACACCATGGACATCTGCTCGGTGGTGTTCGCCGTCTGCAACATCAGATAGATCAGATGTGTGATGCATTTGAGAATCTTGTCGAAATTCTCCATCTGCCGTTTGAACTGCGGCCGAATCAGCAAGAGTTGTCGAGCCTCTGCAAAAATTAAATACAATGTTATTCGTTGGACTTTACGACTGTAAAGATGTATCACCGGCAATGTTTTGCGTCAACGTCTGAAAGGTGCGGATGCTGTCTTTGAAACGCTGCCCGAAAGCCTTCTGCTCGAGCACGCACTTTTCGTTGTAATCCACCATAAATCTGACAAGTGCTTGCGCCGTAAAGCATGTGTCCGAGTACAGGATGGAATCCTTCTCTACGCGTATCTCCAGCGCCCGCCGCCAAAGATCTATGCATCTCTGGTAGCGCATCGTGTCCGCGTAGGAGGCACCGCGGAACATCAATCTGAAGACGGTGTCCTTGTGATAACAGCCGAGGATCCTCTCCGCTATCAGCAGACTCTGGATTCGGATGGAGTCCAGATCGCCGACGCTGTTGTCCAGTTCAGACATCGTCGAGAACTCCTTCTGGAACCGGAACGCTTCTCTGGGCGGTACAAGAGGACCCTTCACCGTACCTACTTGTTAAACGAAATACAATCATCTCATCTCACATTCAAATCTATAGGTAAATCACCGTTGGTGTCACGGATTCCTTGAGCGATGCGCCAATGCTTGAGGGCGGTGTACAGATCGTTGTGTTCATCGAGGAACGTTGATCCGAGCAGATCGTGCGCGTCTGCAAGACGTTCGCTCGTGTACGGTATGCTGCTGGTGAGATAATCGAAGATGTTGATCGACCCTTTCAAGCAGGCCGTCTGTAGGGCGTCATCGCCGTACTTGGACTTTGCGTTGAAGTTCGCCCCGTATTCGATCAACAAATTACTCGTCTCCAATCTAAAAACAAACATTCAATATTACCAACAAACAAAATTGATTAGATTATCTTAAGAAAAGCTTCAGAGAATTTCATTTGAATAAAGTGTTGTGTCCAACCACTAAATTATAGATCATTAACAGAATGAATATGCAGAGTAGGCAGATCCCACGGAAGACAGTATTTTCAACTGATAACAAAACTGCAGAATCAACAGATCACACGGAGAAACTGAAGTGACCTGAAGTGGAGCATCTTTTTACAAAGGTTGTTAATGTTGAACTTGTTTTCAACATTAGATTTCTGGAATAACCATAACAACCTTTTCCCATTGTCTATTCTGAATATGATTGTTTCTATTATCTGAACTATTATGCCTAACATAATTATTGTTAAAATTATTTTCCCGCACGCCTCTATAATTATGTTGAAAATTATCGTTACGATTTCTATAATTCGATTGGTTATTCTGAAAATTGTTAGCGCAATTTCTATAGTTTGATTGATTATTTTGAAAATTGTTAATATTTCTATATTTTAATTAATTATTTTGAAAATTATTATCGCGCATATTACTAAAGTTATTTAATCGGCGTGGATTGTCTTCCATATTAAAATTTCTGAAGGAATTCGATAAATTTGTCATTACGTATAAACTGATCTTGGGTCTTTCTTCTATTAATTTCTAACTCTTTTTGCTCTGCTATAAAATGTGCGCTATCTAAGGAATTTACTTCATTTAGGTTTATGAAATCCCTAATTTCTGGAATAAGTCCTAATTTAAAATTATTCAATATTTCGAATGGTAATAAACGTTTATGTTCTCTAGCAATATCTAAGCCGAATGAAATGGTCATTGCGTCAATAATTTTAAGGGAAATTTCAGGAAAGTTCAGTCTTGTTATGAAGGAATGCACCGATTCATTTCTGCCTTGATTACAGACATTCAGTTTGTTCCTCCAATACGCAACATCGGAAGATTCGGAAAAATGTTTTATTACTTTACTACGTAATTCTAACCAAGTATTATAAATTGTCTTTCCCCTAAAGCCTTCTCCCACAAAACTTGACATGATTGAGTCTAGTAATTCTGTCTCTAAATAGTGTAACTTATCATTCTCGAATAACTTATTACAACTTCCAACAACTAAGACTCCAAAACGACAACACCAGAAGAAATATTCCACTGTGTCCAGAATTCCATCCCTGGGACACGACAAAAGCGTAATTATACTGCAATCACTTTTACGATGATTGATCATAAATGAATAATCGAGTTGTGAATTGCAAAGAATGGAATTTGAACTGCACAAGAAAAGAAGGCGCATTTACGCGTATCGATTAATAAATTATTTATAGCTCTCGAGCGGAGCGAGATAGAGCAGGAAATGAAACGACAACAAACAAATCAACAATCAACAAAGAACATTCCGATTTCTTGCCTTGCTTTGAAGGATAAACTCCTTATAAGAATTCCAATTCGCTCCTCACCTGTGTTCCTGTATGGCGTAGTGCAATGCAGTCTTGCTCTGGATATCTTTGGCATTGACGTCGGCCCCATGCTTGAGCAGGAAATGACACAACTCCACACTCTGCACCGAATTGATCAGACAAGTTCCACCATTAAAATTCGGTCTGTTTATGTCCGCCCCGTTCTCCACCAGATACTGGACGATTTCCAAATGGGTCATGAAGCAGGCAGAGCGGACCGGTGTGGAACCCGTGTCGGAAACAGCATTGATGTCAGCCCCCTTGGCTAGAAGGAACTTGATGATGGACAGCTTCCCGGACACGGCTGCACACCACAGTGGGGTCACTGCATGCGTTGATCTAACAATAAATTGATGTAACCACGGTTAATGCTTTCAATAAATGTATTTACACACACCTGTCATCGGGAACCTCATAGATTCCCTTCTGTTCGACATCCGCCTTGCAATTATTGACAAGGTACTCAACGATATCGATCTGCCCCTTCTTGCAGGCTATGAACAACGGTGCACATCCCATCTTCAGCCTGTTCACTATCTCGGCGCGACACTTTGATGGGAACTTGTCAAGACGGTTCCTCAAGTTGTAAGAGATTCTTGATCCGGGTGGCAGCATTCTGCACTCATCGATGAGCTCATGGAAGCACTCATCTTTCAAGTTGAGGACGTCGTTCTTCCAGGCCCTCATCGTCGCTCCTCGATTGGTCAAAAACGAAAATAAAATAAAAACAAAAACAAAAGGTTGCGCCTTTGTTTGTTGACTTCGCGATTGTCTTCGTTTCTTTGGTAACGATGCTGGTGGAGCATTACCTCCTTCGATCACCTCTAAATTTTGTATTTATATATATATATATACACACAAATATATATATAAATCGAGATGAAAGACAGAGAGATCTTTTCCCTTTCTCTTCAATCCTCCTCTATTTTTTTTTCTACTTCTTCAGCCTTAATTCTGGACGAGGTGGAATGCGATCAGAGGACAAACCCCAATTCGCGCTAAGTAAACAACGAAAGATGGAGACGTTAGGAGGCGGTGGAGGAAACAAATGGAACACTCTGCACCACGACGAGACGAGATCAAGATCACCGTCACATCACGTTATTATTTGTAAATTTCCTTTGTCGAACAAGAACTCGCAGAAGTCTATAATTGTTGCACTCGTCCAGATCAGCTGTCCGATACGAATGACAGTCTTGGAGGAATTGATGGCTGTTTTATAAGAACAGGGAAATCCATCTCCTACAGTCGGTATAAAAGATTCCAATAGGAATAGGCAAGATAATGCAGTTTCCTGTAATCCATTTCAAAACTATTGTAAAACTTTCTGAAAATGTTTTATTTTACAAAATAATATCGAAATATCCATATAACTTTTGTTACATAATCAAGATTAATAACAAACTTATAACAATTTACCTTTTATTTAATTACTCAGTAACCACGCACGCCAATTAGATGAATCAACGTGCAAATTAAAGATAAAACTATCATCTTTCCAACGAATCTATTACGCAATTGATGACACCTGCGGGACTTCTAATATAATCGATTGAAATTGATCAATGCACATTTGGTTGCATACATAAAACATTTAAGTAATTATTACTTTGTATTAGAATTGTCTTTAAATTGGAATATTCTTAAGTAAAATATTCTGATTCTGATTAATCACATTTAATAATTTTAATATCAATATTAAAACAAACATAAATATTTTACGAACTAAATAATTATTTATTAAATTTAAATATAATAGAACCATTCGCTCTCCGTCATCATCGATAAAAATATAATAGTATTTACAGAGGTGGCAAAGATTAATAATTAAAAAAAAAAACATCTTCTTTTCCTCCTCCTCGCTATCTTCACTTTTGATGGCATAACGATTGAGTAAAATCGATGAGATATTGTAAAAGTTACATACAACTTTCTGAAAATGTTTTATAATATATTATTTTCAGTTTATTATACAAATTAATCTCGAAATATCCATATAACTTTTGTTACATAATCAAGATTACAATAACAAACTTATAACAATTTACCTTTTATTTAATTACTCAGTAACCACGCACGCCAATTAGATGAATCAACGTTCAAATTAAAGATAAAACTATCATCTTTCCAACGAATCTATTACGCAATTGATGATACCTGCAGGACTTCTAATATAATCGATTGAAATTGATCAATGCACATTTGGTTGCATACATTTAAATAATTATTAATTTGCATTAGAATTGACTTTAAATTGGAATATTTTTAAGTAAATATTCTGATTCTGATTAATCACATTTAATAATTTTAATATCGATATTAAAGCAAACGTAAATATTTTACGAACTAAATAATTATTTATTAAATTTAAAAATAATAGAACCATTCGCTCTCCGTCAACATCGATAAAAATATAATAGTATTTACAGAGGTGGCAAAGATTAATAATTTAAAAAAAACAAAATATATGCATTCGCTCAATTAATATGCGGCAAAAGAGTTGCTTCCGTTTCTTCTTCTTTTCCTGCTCATTATCTTCACTTTTGATGGCATATCGATTGAGTAAATGTTGAAATTGAAGATGATCGCGTCTCCTGGGTGATCCTTTTCTTTTGTTTATTGATCAATTGTTTGTTTTTTTTTTCCTACAACTCGTTGTGCACGTATTCCGTGGTTACTTTAAGTTCCTCCAGATGGAACCCTTCGCATTTGTCGGTGTAGTGAGACTGAAATTAACAAAAATTAAATAACGAAATTGTTGTTTGTTTATATGCAATTTACCTTGCATCTTTGTCCATCGACGGTTTCCATATAAATATTCATGTATTCGGAATTGGAATTGCCGCTGCTCAAGTACCAACTTGCGATGAAGGTGGCTCCTTTGCTGAGTGATCTCTTGAGTCCGGGAAGACTCAAGTTTTCGTGATCCTCGTGCTCGTTGGCTAAGCAGAAGACGTACTTGCTGCACTCGGGTATCTTCTGCGCGAACCTCATCGCCCTGTTGACCCTTGCGATCGGCTCCAGAATCTCTAAATTGATCGTGTCAGTCAACTTGTGCGTCAGCTCCGTGGAATCGATCGCCCTTCCCAGAAATCCCTTGTTCTCCGCCAATCGGATCAACTCTTGCGCGTATTCCACGGCCGGTTTGATAGCGGCCATCGAGTCCACCTTCAGGTTCATGTATTTCATAGGGAAATAGTTGATCAGAGCGGCTATGCTTTCGGTGGGTCTCTTCGGATCGAAGAGGGCGGATTTCGGAACGCCCTGACCCTTCAGGAAGTTGTTGACGAAGAATTGACCGGTCGATAAGTATCTGAAACGAAATTGATTGAAAATGTTAATTAATGCTTCTTATATAATCGACAGAGGGCGCCCGATTACTTGAAACAATTGTAGGCAAACAACTTGGCATTATGTCAAATCGCGAACAAATTGTGCAAAATCTTCAGATTAATTATTCGATTTTAAAGTGATTTTCAACTCGAATTTAATATTGAAAAGCTTGTAAGTATACTATTATATAATATTAGAAGATAAATCTAACATTGCTTGGACGTTTTATAGATTTTTTGTATCAAATATAAAGTATTTTATACTATTATTGGTTATGTTTATCCAAAATGGATGAAAAAAAGTACCAACATCGAGAAAAGGTAAATCTAATCTAATTTGATTATAGGCAACTTGATGTACACATTAATTAGAAATTTCAAAATTTTCGATTGTAAATAATTTAGTTAACTTACTTCTTTTGCGTGTAGGGATCTGCCATGAAGGAGAGCATCTCAGCAAGACGACCTGTGACGATTTTGATCCAGTGCCTTCTGAAGGAACGGTTCTCGAGGAGGTCGACGAATTTCCTGACGCTGAAGTTGCCCTCGCCGTCGCTGAAGATCTTCATGAACTTCTCCGCTCCCAATTTGGTGACGAAACCCTTGCCCATGTCGGAATTCAAGAACTGATCGAAGAAGACGTGCAGCTTCTCGACGATCGGCGGAAGATACCAGGCGTGATCGGCGTGCGAATGAGCCCTCTCCTCGGCTTCCGGACCGACGAACGAGTTGAACAGATTCATCACGACCGGAAGGTACGACGTCATATCGGAAGAGCCCTCCTGGCTCATGAAACTGCTAGCCAAATTCATCGCGCTGCTCAGATCGAAACCCTCGTTCTTCCTTGCGCGGTTCTCTTTCGCCGGTTCACCGCCTCCTTGATTCATCATGCTTAAAAGATTTCCGATCATGGAAATATCGAATCCTCCGGATTTCTTTCCACTCTCTCCCCCTTGATTCAGCATTCCGATCACGTTACCGATCATCGACAAATCAATTCCTCCTCCACCTGCGTTCTGTCCCATCAAAGCTCCGATTCCCTGCAGAATCTGTCCAGCGCCTCCTGCGGCGCCTCCAGACATCAGCATCTGTCCCATCTGTTTTCCGCCTTCCGAATCCAAGAAATTTGACACCAAACTACCCAAATCCCCTGATTTATCGCCTCCAGCCAACAAAGATCCGGCTATATCCAAAAACGGATTCGTCTCGTCCACCTCGTTATCATCCAGGCTCTGATGGCTGGACCCGATCAGAACCAAAGACAAAGCCAACAACAGAAACCTCGCCATGGTTACTTCTACAAAAAAAAAAAACAATTCAATCATAAACACAAGCTGTAACGATGGTAACAAACTTATTATAATAATGATCGTCGTTATTTTTTTTTTTGAATGAATGATGGAGATGTTTTGCGGGCAATTATATAACAATTAACTGTGCATTTATGTAACTCTTTTTATTTTTCTTCTTCTTCTTCTAGTGTCGATGAACTTTGCACTCGCCGTTTTCGCTGAACGGAATCATGTAAGTATAATTTTTACTTCTTTGTTACAAAACTCGCTGTTATATTTGAATGTCGTCCAACTGTTAAATCGAACCACTTGTCGAGGTGCAATTCTTAAGCAAATGGTTGTATTTTTTTTTTGGTAAATTAGCATTCTTGATGCATCGAAAGTCAGGATGTGTCGGAGAGTTTATTGACTTCGTATCCCTATTAGAATATCAATGAATTTTGATGATACTTGTTTCTATTATAAATATCGTGAACTTCTTCACTTTATGAAACATTTACTGGTAATTATTGCAATTATACAAGTACATTTTTTCATCGCATTCTTGAAATCCCGACGTTCGAAGTCCCGACTGTATCGAAATCCCGACTATATCGAAAGTCGGGATATAGATTATATTGATTGTCGGGATTTTGACATAGTCAGGATTTCGATATAATCGGGATTTCGATTGTCGGGCTTGCGATTGCCACCGATTTAAAATCGAGAACTTTTTTACTTTATGAAACATTTGCTGGTAATTATTGCAATTATACAAGTACATTTTTTTCATCGCATTCTTGAAATCCCGACTGTATCGAAATCCCGACTATATGGAAAGTCGGTATATAGATTATATTGATTGTCGGGATTTTGACATAGTCAGGATTTCGATATAGTCGGGATTTTGATAGACGGGATTTCGATTGTCGAACTTGCGATTGCCACCGTTTTAAAATCGAAAACTTCTTTACTTTATGAAACATTTACTGCTAATTATTGCAATTATACAAGTGCATTTTTTCATCGCATTCTTGAAATCCCGACTATATCGAAAGTCGGTATATAGATTATATTGATTGTCGGGATTTCGATATAGTTGGGATTTCGAACATCGGGATTTCGATTGTCGTGCTTGCGATTGCCACCGATTTAAAATCGAAAACTTCTTTACTTTATGAAACATTTACTGGTAATTTTTGCAATTATACAAGTACATTTTTTCATCGCATTCTTTCGTATCCATTCAATTCCGTTGTTATTGTTGTTGTTGTCCACCTTTTCACCACGAATATTTTTAGATAATCGCGAAGCGACGATAACAAAAAAACGACGAAACCTTGACATTTTACGTAGATGCAAGAAGGAGGAACGAAAAAAGAAAAGAAACGACTAATGATAACACGCTTCGCGTAAAAACGTCTCGCTTGACAGTGGCCGGAACAATTGAATTACGATCGCGCTTCTGGAACACAACAGTCAATTGTTTCCTTCTTTTGTTTCCACGTAAATTCGACCAACAAAGTTAACTTTACCTTAATTGCAACTACCTTTAATCAAAGTTGCGGCAACAGTATTTTTTTTTACATTTTTATTATTCGTTCTATTTACGTAACGTTTATCTAACAGCTCGTTAAATATTTAATTAGTGCGAATGATAACTATGACAACCGATGGTATAATAAGGTGTCTTATCGTTAGGAATATAAATTTTTTTAATTGTCCTTTTTAACGAACTGCATTTGAACTATATTTTTTTTATCGCTAAAGAACTAATTAATATAGTAATTTTATGTGCGTTGCGCAACGAAACACCAAATTCCTGTTCCATTTACGTTATCTTGTCTACTTGGAAACCTTAAAGAATTCTTTAAAAAAATGTCTCTCACTATTTTTATAATTAATTAGTATTAGACTCTTAATTTTTTTAAGTATTTTATGAAATCTTAATTAATTAGTTTTTCTTTCATCAAATTTCATTGAATTATTTAGTATTAACATCTATAAATTTTGAACAATTTGGGATAAAATTGCATATTACGTTGCTAAGTGATTTTTCTTGTTATTGCTTCATTTGTTTGCAATTAATTTGTTTTACGAGCGTTTTGCAAAGAAGACTCGATTTAATTATCACGAAATAAGTGATTGAGTAATTGAGTAAACTGTAGACGATTATAATTGAAGTACGAAAACTATGACATACCGGTTTTAAAAATAACATATTTTATAAAGTAGACTTACCTGTTGTTGAGTATAGGTTAATTTTTGTTGAAAATTCCTGAGTTAGACGACAAACTCTTTGCACCGACCGAAATGTTTCTCTTTCCTATATATCGCCGAGTGTGTGTGTGCGTCTGAACTGAAGAATTGAGAAAGAGCAGTTGCGTGAGTCAAAAGTGGATACGCTGATGTGGACTTAACGGTAAATCGGTGAGGCTCGTCGTCGTCTACCTCCAGTTACGAACTTGAGTTGTTCCGTCCACTTGCCCGTACCGAACTGAATCACCTGACTCCTCTGCAACAGCTTATATCAATCTACCTGTACACTTTACCTGCACTCTTTTCACAATACAAAAAAATAAACCTAACTTTTTCGAATTTCTTCCATTTCTCAAACGTCTTAAGAAATTTATCTCCAGTAGACTATTAAGAATAAAGCGCCCTTATTCATAAGAAAATACACGGAAAGGGAAGCAAAATTGCCGCCCCCCAAAAAGGCTAGGTCAGGTGGCCCTGATAATTCAATAAATAACGTTTAAATGTTCATTAATTCCGAAGACGTGGCCCGAAGTATTTACAGTTAGCTGTGGAGGAAGAATCAAAGTGGAATTCAAAAAAAAAATATGTATATGAGAATCGGAGAGACTTTTATTTTTTGGACTTTTGCCTCTTCTGTCGAGTTCAATAACAAAACTTTACTAAATAAATTAAACACAAAACAGAAAAGAATGTTTGGTTTCTATGGGCAACGAAAAATAACGTTTTTTTTTTTGTTAAAAAGTTTGAACACAGAGTTTCCATGGATACGTAACGTAATAGGTTTTTATTAGTTAATTTTGAGGCAATTCTTTTGTGTCGGTTTTGAAATGTAGACGAAATTGAAATTACACAACGTGTGAGAAAAGCATAATCGAAATACCGTAAGTTATGGTCTTCTGTGTTTGACCAAATGGTTAACAATGAATACACACGGCGATTGGCAAAAGGACAATAAAAAAATATATATAACACTTAATAATAACACAGTGTTTATACATACAACACGCAACGCGAAGGAAGTGGTTCAACGAACCTCCTCAACCATACATTCGACTAATTCTTTAGATCAACAAACGATAAAAGTCTCTTTTTTTTCTCCATCATTTCTAAGTATGCTCGAAAGAAACGACAACAAATTTAGTTAAAAAGAGAAGCATTTGTTTTGTTTATATTTTGTTTTATGGAAGTTGTCATTTCACTTGTTTCGAATTTCATTTGTTAATTGCACCAATCAAAAATTACACGTAATTAATTTAGTTTTTTTTTAAATTTTTCTTTTGTCATTTGCACGATAACAACGAAAATTTAATTTCATTAAGTGAAGTAAAGTAAAGCACTTGTCTCATTTAAATTTCGTTTGTTAATTGTCTGTAACTAATGAAATAAATAAACAATAGACAAAACACAAATTTGTTAATTGTTTTGCGTTTGTTTTTTTTCCTGTTATTACTTGATTTAAAAGGAAAATAACATTTCGTTGCATTTATTCGTCAATAGAAATATTTAATATAAAAATAATGAAATTTAGTTTGAAAGAGAAGCATTTGTTTTGTTTTATCGAAGTTATCATTTCACTTGTTTCGAATTTCATTTGTTAATTGCACCAATCAAAAATTACACGTAATTAATTTAGTTTTTTTTTTAAATTTTTCTTTTGTTATTTGCACGAAAATAACGAAAATTTAATTTCATTAAGTGAAGTAAAGCACTTGTCTCATTTATCTTTTGTTTTATGTCATTAACTTATGTCACATTTAAATTTCGTTTGTTAATTGTCTGTAACTAATGAAAAAATAACCAATAGACAAAACACATATTTGTTAATTGTTTTGCGTTTGTTTTTTTTCTGTTATTACTTGATTTAAAAGGAAAATAACATTTCGTTGCATTTATTCGTCAATAGAAATATTTAATATAAAAATAATGAAATTTTGTTTGAAAGAGAAGCATTTGTTTTGTTTTATCGAAGTTGTCATTTCACTTGTTTCGAATTTCATTTGTTAATTGCACCAATCAAAAATTACACGTAATTAATTTAGTTTTTTTTTTAAATTTTTCTTTTGTTATAACAACGAAAATTTAATTTCATTAAGTGAAGTAAAGTAAAGCACTTGTCTCATTTATCTTTTGTTTTATGTCATTAACTTGTCACATTTAAATTTCGTTTGTTAATTATCTGTAACTAATGAAAAAAATAAACAATAGACAAAACACATATTTGTTAATTGTTTTGCGTTTGTTTTTTTTTCTGTTATTACTTGATTTGAAAGGAAAATAACATTTCGTTGCATTTATTCGTCAATAGAAATATTTAATATAAAAATAATGAAATTTAGTTTGAAAGAGAAGCATTTGTTTTGTTTTATCGAAGTTGTCATTTCATTTGTTTCGAATTTCATTTGTTAATTGCACCAATCAAAAATTACACGTAATTAATTTAGTTTTTTTTTAAATTTTTCTTTTGTTATTTGCACGATAACAACGAAAATTTAATTTCATTAAGTGAAGTAAAGCACTTCTCTCATTTATCTTTTGTTTTATGTCATTAACTTATGTCACATTTAAATTTCGTTTGTTAATTGTCTGTAACTAATGAAAAAATAAACAATAGACAAAACACATATTTGTTAATTGTTTTGCGTTTGTTTTTTTTTTCTGTTATTACTTGATTTAAAAGGAAAATAACATTTCGTTGCATTTATTCGTCAATAGAAATATTTAATATAAAAATAATGAAATTTAGTTTGAAAGAGAAGCATTTGTTTTGTTTTATCGAAGTTATCATTTCACTTGTTTCGAATTTCATTTGTTAATTGCACCAATCAAAAATTACACGTAATTAATTTAGTTTTTTTTAAATTTTTCTTTTGTCATTTGCACGATAACAACGAAAATTTAATTTCATTAAGTTAAGTGAAGCACTTGTCTCATTTATCTTTTGTTTTATGTCATTAACTTATGTCAAATTTAAATTTCGTTTGTTAATTGTCCGTAACTAATGAAAAAAATAACCAATAGACAAAACACATATTTGTTAATTGTTTTGCGTTTGTTTTTTTTTTCCTGTTATTACTTGATTTAAAAGGAAAATAACATTTCGTTGCATTTATTCGTGAATAGAAATATTTAATAATTAGAGCAAAAGAATAAGTAATGTATGTAGAAATTAAGTGCGGATGGAATAAATGGCCGGATTTTGGTGTTGTTTTGTAATGTTTGTAATGTTTTCATCATTTCTTCTTGATAGTGTTGCAAGCCCATTCCATGCCTTCGCGAACACCAGAAGCTTGAGAAGCCGTGCACGCTTGGATCTGCCACGGTCTGTCCTTGATCGAAGGAAGACCCAAAGTCTGAGCCAAATCCGAAGCGCTCAGAGACTCGGGAAGATCCTGCTTGTTGGCGTACACCAAAAGGGGAACTTCTTTAAGTTTTTCATCACCCAAAAGTTCGTACAATTCGATACCGGTTTCCTCCAAACGTCTCTTATCCGCAGCATCCACGACGTACACCTGCACAGAATGCAATCATTTAAATGCAAATTTCATTACTTTTGAAAATCAAGTTTAAAAAAAATCGTTTGTTTATATGCAACCAAAGTTACGCTCACCAAAATATCAGTGTTTTCAAAGTAGTTCTTCCAGTACGGTCTGATCTTCCTCTGTCCGCCGATGTCCCAGACGTTCAGTTTGAATCCTTCCGAGACGACGGATTTGATATTGAAGCCTGCCGTTGGTGTAATATGCGTTACATCCTCGGATGCTAAAGTCTTCAGAATGGTCGTTTTTCCGGCATTGTCGAGACCCAACAGCAAAAGACGAAGTTCCTTTTCCGGTGCGGATCGCAGCTTCCGCAATATCGAAAGAAGACCCTGCAAAAAAAACAATTGAAATTTCGAGATTGTATGCAACCAAAGTTACGGAAATTTTGAAAATCAATAATTTTTGTTGTTAACCGCTGAGAATAATTGTATTATATGGAAATAAGTACATTTAAGCCAAATTTACAGGAAATTGTATAAATAATTATAAAGCAGTCTACGTGTTGCGTGGGTTGTATAATATGATTACGCAACCTATGATTTAATCATTACTAAAATAAGTAGAAGAAAAACACAGAGCTTTTAAATCTATTCGGAATAAACAGGGACTTTTAACTGGTGTCCTTATTGGATTGGTATCACTGAAACGGGGACGATATTCCAAGGATCGTCGCTGTCATGAGCAGTTGTTTTTTTTGTTTTGTTTACAAACAGAGGCCGCTCGATTTCGCCGCATAAAGAGCAAACGATGATTTTAAATTAAATTAAATTAAAATAATAATACACAAAAAAAAGAAAAGAAACGAGGGAAAGATAACACGGTTGGTGCAACTGTAAAGTTCAAAGTGCAAGAGAAACGCTTGATTTTTTCAGGTTAAGAAGAATTTTTTTGTCGTTCCGACACACACGAAATATAGAACTGACAGTAAGCTAAATGTCGTGTAAATGTATGTGTTTTTACTTTTATTGTCCGTAAAAAAAAAGAGAGAGAAATTAATTAATGACGATGGAAGATCGATAGTTTCTCACGTCCGAACGTGGTGAATAATTCAAATAAATGTATCTATCGACGATTGAAACAAATGAAAAAGAACGATCGAAACAAGTGAAAGAAGAGATGTCGTAAATGTTTGATGTGTAGGTAGATAGATGAACGTAGGCGGCTTTGAAACAAAATGCTTAGTTTTTAGTTTATGGGACAGTATTAAACGAAAATACAATAGAAATCCAATTGAAACAACAACAAATGAATTATGTGTCTATTGTCTCTATAATTATCGTGCATGTCCATAGTTCAAATAGTTTGTAGTTTTTTTTTTTACATTATAAAATTAGATTTGACTTATCGTCTGTTAAATACTAATGTCTTGTTGAGTTGAACAAAAAAAAAAAATAATGAAATTTTTAGTTTGCGTGTGTGTTAAAAACTAGAATAACTTTGATTAATTGAAAATTTGAAATGAATTTATATTTCTGTATTAGTATTTAGCAGACGATATGGGAATTGGATGCCGTTGATGATGGCTTCGGTAGGGGTTGGTACTGTGGTGCGTATCCATGGCAACGCATTTTATTTTTATCGCGTGCCAACCCCGCAAAAAAATCAATTGCACCTCGACAAATCGTATGCAACCAGACGAGCGAATCGATAATTCGAAACTTTTGGAGGAGGAAAAAGCAGCTGTTGCGTCGCGATGCACGTGCGCTCTGATTGATGCAATAATACGAATTGAATGAGAAAGAGTTCTGTTACATCGACTACAATAAATTGAGAGTAAAGCTATTAGGTAAATGACAAAATAGGTTAAAAAAAAACCAGAAATTATTGATGTAAGCGAAGGTAACCAAGACGACGGTGATGACGTTAGATGTGGGGAACGTCAGATGTGCGATGGAATTTGATTTCTGTTCGTGTTATATTTGCCAAGGTCTACTTACCATTGTTTTTTGTTTCTTTTGTTTTTGGAGGTGGTGGAGGATAGGTTCTTCTTTGGGCGGTGGAGGAGGATCGTCTGGAAGGGTGGTTTTGATGCGGCGACCGTCGGCAGCGGAGCGGAGCGAAGGGGGAGCGGCGTTCGTGAAAAGGTGGAAATAATCGATTCGCTGGAGGAGAGAGAGAGAGAGAGAGTGAGAGGTGGAACGGAGGGAGGAGAAACAAAAAAAAAATATAATTAAAACAAAAGCGAAACAAACAAACGAAGAGATGCGGGCGCTCTACGCCGGCTGCAATCTGTTCGGTCAGGTGCTCGGTTCCAGGTCTATAGCTTTGGAGAAGTTCGGAGACTACGGGGATGGCGTCCAGGACGTTCTTGCCATTGGACATTCGGTGGTCGTGTGCAGAGGTGTCAAGGGTGGCGTGACTCTCAGGGGACACGGTTTGGAGCCGAAGAGGACGCACATCGTCACGGAGCTCGAGTTCAGGAGGCACGTGGTGGACGCGAGCGCTTCGGACACGAGACTCGTCTTCTTGGACGCGGACGGAGATCTGCACGTCCTCGATTTCCTTGACAGAGAGGTGCAGCTCAGAGTTAAGCCCAGATTCGTGGAGGTCGGCGACAGAGCGGTGAGGATCTCGTGCGGGTTCGGTATAAACGTCGCTCTGACGATCGCCGGACACGTCTACAACATTCCCAACAAGATGCGATTCAGCAACAAGGAGCTGGTGGACGTGAAGACGGGAAACGAGCATTGCCTCCTGCTGGACAAGACGGGGAACGTCTTCAGCTTCGGAAACGGCAGGTGCTTGAACTGAAAATATAATGAAATCGATAGCAACAATTAACTTGATTCTTCATTTCAGTCGAGGTCAATTGGGACACGGGACGCTGGACGCCGAGGAAGAACCTCGACTGGTAGACTTCCTTGCTGGCCTGCAGGTGATGCAGATTGCCGCCGGCAGCTGGCATTCGTGCGCCCTGACGGCAGATGGCGTCCTCTACGTTTGGGGTTGGAACAGCGACGGACAACTTGGCCTTCCCGGCAGCGTTGTCATCGCCGTCCCCACAATGATGCACAAACCCGACAACGTCGCTTTCGTAGCAGCCGGAAGCAGGCACACCATCATATCCACATGTGAGTATAGATCTTTGCCTATCCTACAATCATCAATAACATAATTTGCTAATGTCACCAACATATATTTCGTATTGAATGAATCACTCTGTACATACAAATTTAAAAAATATTTTTTTGTATATTAACACGTTAAGGACGGCGCTTTTCGGGTTGTCTGTCCCCAAAAAAAAATGTCTTGGACGCCTATGGACTGAGAGAAACGTCAAATATCTTACGTCAATTATAACCTTTAAAAGTTTAAATTTTTCTTATACATTTTTTAATGATATTGAAGCAATTTATAAGAATTGTTAACAACTTTATGAAAATTTCAATATTTTTCCCC